GGGACACACTAGCCTTCATTGAGAACTTTTGATGGAATTAATCAGCATTTGATTTACACGGAGAGGAAAACCACCAAAACTTTTCCCGGTTAACCTGACGGCAAGAGATTCTAACCCAACTGAGGATATTTTCTGCTGTTGGTGTGAGCTAGGGGGATAATTTGTATCGCCCTACCATCACTGGGATTCAAGCTTGGCTCATTGGGAGGCAAGTGCACTGTCCCCGGAGCCGGGCTCGGCTGATTCATATGTTGCTGCATTATCCATTTTCATTTCTGAAAACCTTATATCTTGGAACCTATGCTGAACAAAAGAAAACTCATCACCTAACTGCCTTTGAAGTGAAACTAACCAGAGTTTGCGTTACATAGAGAGGAAAACCACGCAAACCTTCATGGTTCTTCTGAAAGCACAGGGACTCAAAAATGCGATCCGTCTACAACTGGAAATATTTTCGCCAGAACTGAGAACGATGCATTGAGAAAGAAAGTATAGTCTAAGCAGCCAAATTATGGTAAGATTAACCGTGTTGTTTCTCTATGCGAGTACCAAAAAGCACGAAAATTCTTACCAAACAGCTTCGGTAATGATTCTTGGTAAAATTAACAATAAAATATTGTATCTCTACCATGCTGTCAGGAAAAATATGTGATAAAATTTGGTAATTTTATAAAGATATTTTAGAGCATGACATAAAAATCATTTATTATTGGTGAAATTTAATTTTCAGTTTTGTGTTTTTTATTAAATGATGGTAATAAGAAGTGTGAAATCAGAATTTCTAATAAACCGCCTCCCTATGAATTACCAAATGAATATTTCAAATACAGTATATTTTGGTTTTATTAACAAGAATTACGTCTCGTTTCAGAAATGTCATTATCATACAGTACGTTAATTATACCAGAATCCTTGAGGGAGAGACAAGCCGTTGCAGGGTTTCAAACATAGACCCTCCGAGCTTTCCAGGCTTTTAGGAAAATTCATTGGAAGTCTATATAACTTCGTCAAAGGCTCGGATCACGAAAACTAGGTTTGAAATATTATTTCATCTTTATAAGTATTCAGATAAAATAAAAAGAAAGGAAAATATTTGAGATAAAACATTTCATACAATAAATTAATTACTGTATTTTAAATAAATTACTGTGAAATAAATTAATTACTATATACAGACTTGTCAAATAAAATCTAGTTTTAGACACTAGTTTATTTTCAAGCGTAAAAAGAAAACATTCGAAAGAAAATCTTCAGTAGATATCGATATCAGATCCGAAAGCATTTATTTATTATTGCAAACTATATTTTGATCACGCATCAAATTAAATGATTAAATGACGTGCTAAAGCTTCAGTTTTTTTTTATCGAATCAAAGCAATTTATCACGTTAACTGCCATCTTTGTTTGAAAGATTGTTGGCACTTTTTCTAAACTCAATTCTTTAGAAGAGTAAAAAATTATGATTGCAATAAATATTCTGGTAAAGCAGTAAAATATAACTATCTATTGATATCATTTGTTAAGGATAGTATCAATCCTATTCGAAAATTATACTCTTGTTTTTATTAGTAAACATCCAAACATTAGTCTAAAAATGCTGTTTGGTGTTAAACTGGCTCTGTTAATAGCATGACTGTTCAAAATTGCCTCTTATGATTGGAAGGTACTTTTGAAACATTTTCAACAATTTGTGTTAATTGTCACAAAACAGAGTTATTTATTTACTCTAAAATGATTGCGAATTAAATTTAAACCAAATTGCTGTCAGGGTTAAAAGTTCAGATCCAGCTTTGAAAACTTCACCAATTATGGAATTTGTAGAAAAGGATTTATATGGAATGGTTTATATGGAATTTGTAGAAAAGTTCTGAAGAAATAAAACTTTTTTAAAATCAGAAAACACTTCATTAATTCCGTTCAAAACTTAAATATTTGATATGACAGTTTAAAATTAGAGAAAAATTTGTACACCTTACAAAATTCACTTTACAAAATACCAAAAGGTTTCGTACATCAATAAAGTAAACTAAAAAAATTAAATAATTATTAAAAATTACTTTTTAGAAGAATTATCTTTAAAAAAAACAATTTTATAAATGTGTGTAAAACTTTTTGTTCGCTTAAATAGTTTCAGAGATAATTATACAAACAGTAAAACAAAAGAAGACAAAATTTTGGACGATCCTCCAAAAAAAATATTTGGGACCATATTTTTCAGATTGAGACTCCCCCCATATTTTGAGGCTTAAAAATCCAAATATGTCGAAGAAGAAATATGTTTATTTAGAAAAAGTATGTTTTTTGTCAGATTTCGAAACTTATACCATTACGCCTCTTAGACTTCAACGTACACAAATATCCGATTATTAGATCAAAATATATAAAGTTGTTCTTTTCTTTAATTGTGGAAGCTGTACTTGGTGTATATAGTTTTGTGATTCAATAAAACATACATGTGTATAGCAAAACATTATAGGCACTAACTTTATTAAAAAATATATATAATCCATAACATCATATTTAGTGCAAAGAATTACATCTTAATTTTATCGTTTGATTATTGCGAGTCATGCATAGTGTAATTTTATAGTACGTTTCAACATTTGACTGCGCATAAAACATAATGCAAAATTACGTGAAAGGGGAGCATTTTAATATAAAAGAAAACTCATATCTACCTTCTGGGCTATTACCGTTACTATTATTTTGCTTGATGTTTCCTCACTTAAGGTCGTTTCATTAAGATGACAACTTCCAAGGGCAATTTTTCTGATTTCCTAACAGCGAAGCAGAGTTTGCAAAAAATCATGATTTTTCTTTTTTTTTTATATCGGTTTTATATTTCTCACGAAAATGGTTAAAATTATCATTTAATTGCTACTAACTAATCAAAGAATTAATAAAATCATAGTTATTTTTTTCAAGCACTTAATGAATCATAAATATTGGGTAACATTTTGTCAATTGGATATCTAATGAAGAATAAATTAGCTTAGATCAGAAAACATAACTGAAAAAAAGAAGCAATTATTTTAAGTCACTATGAGCTGAACAAGTCTTTTCATTAATTTGATATGCACAACACATGTAACACATGTAATACAACATATGATTACAAATGTAATAGGTTTTAAAGCACTTGTGTTTAAATAAACATAAAACAAAATGGGTATGATTAATACTATGAATGCACTATATATTAATTATATTGTATAAATTAATACTTAAAAAAATTAGTTTTTCAGTCGAAAATTCAGTGAATTTTTTTAAATAATCACTGTTGATCATCAACTATTTTTTTAAAAAAAAAATCAAGTGATTTAAATCAAGATTTTGATAAATCATGCCAACCCTGCAGCAATTTATTTTGTATCGCCTGAAAAAAAAATTTTGAGCTGTCCCATTAGTTGCAACAAATTAGATGAAATGGATGATAATAATTGCATGAGTGTTTGAGCTATGTTTGAAAAACAGGGAGGCAATCATTTAGGTGAAACAAACGTGGCAAGTTGGCATTTTGGCTGAGAAACATCAAGCTATAGGGCTGGTTTAAAGTATTTTAGAAATCAATTATCTTTTAAAACATAATTCTAATTTTTACACATAATTTTAATTTTTTATATTCATTTTATTAATTATTTACGGTGCTTAAAGTAAAGTTTTAGCAACTAAGTTAGCAATGAAAGTGCTTGTTTTCTAGTACTTATCATAATTTTAATTTGCAACTTGTGAGTTTTTTTCCTTTAAATCACTATACTACGTAAACTTACTCGGGGGGGGGGTTATTGACCCCGTTGCACAGTTAAAACAGTTATGTTATTTATAAATTCATCAATACATTTTAAATGTAGTTAAGCGTTTCAAGCCATATTTTCCCTAAGTATTTTTTTCCAAAATCAAATTAATCGAAATATTATTATCAATCTGTTAAATCTCAATTAATTACAATATCATTACCGATCAATCAAATATCGATAAATCAAAAATTAAAGAAATTAATCAATTATTAATTGATCGAAATATAAAAAAACACTATGCTAACTAGTTTCGTTCTCCTATATTTTTTTCAATAATAATTGGATTACAACGAATATTATCTTAAATACTATTTAAAGGTATTTCTAAGGTGGTGATAGCAACATTGAGCAAAATAACTATATAAATTTCCTATCATTTAAGTATTATGTCATATCCTAAAACAATTTATAACACAATAGATACAACAAATGTTTTGTCGAATAATTTATATATTTCTCATGCAACCAAATTTAAAATCAATTTCATGTAATTTGTTTATTTTTTGAAACCAAAATCCTGAGGAAAACATGCTAAATAATTTATGTATCTCACTACTTTAATTAAATACCGAAGAAAATGTCTTATAACATCATTTAATAAACCATAATATTTTTATTTGAATTAAAAAAATTTTAAGACAGTAAATATTCCAAACATGGAAAGTGTTTAACTTATAACTTATTTTAAAATTCATTTATAAGATAAAAGAGAACTATTTTGATATTGTTACGAGATAAAAATTGCTAAAAAAATGTCTAGTGATTTCTACTACTTAATGATTAGAACACTTAAACTTTACTCAAGTTTTTCTATGTAAAAAAAAGAATCTTGAACATTTCAAAAGTTTTATTGTTTTGGGGGAAAAAATCATAATCAATAATTATGGAGTTCTTATTTGTTACTTCTTTACAAGTGTAAGAAAATGTTTGTCTCTCTTATTTATCTGAATAGCTTTAAATTTTACTAAAAATAACGTAATAACGATTTGAAGATTTTGTAATGTTTATTTATAGATAGAAATAAAGTGCAAGCAAAAATAAGTTGTTCCCTGGGTTTTTCTGCAAACTATTATTACTCGCATTTGTACTAATTAAATAATAAATCTTAATTGGTTTAATGAGTGCTATAAAAAAGTGGCATCTGACATTCAGTGAAGGAAAGTAAGTAAGAAGATGGATAATGAAGAAAAGGGTGGAACTCACCGATCTTGTAGAGCTGCGAGCCGCTGCTCGGTCGATACAGTTTCTGCGAGATTTGGCGACCGGGTAAGACGGTCAACAGGGTTACCCGAATAAACCCTGGCATGGTTTCCCTAGCGGAAATGTAATCTTCCCTACATCATTAGATGGATTATAAGAACACTTCTATCAATACATTTAATAAAATGTTATAAATACTTGACTCGATCAGATTGCATTCAGACCAATAGACTTTTAATTTATTACCATTTTTAGAGATAAAAATATTCCAATTATTTCTAAGTAAAAATTGATTTCAATTTATAATGCACGAGTATTTAAAATTACATTTCCTATTATAACTTAACAGTTAAAGAAATAAACTTTACGAATTATATTTGTACAAAATATTTAAATTTGATAAAATGAAAGTATAATTTACTTTAAAAGTATAATTTACTTACTTTATAGTAAATATTGATTTCAACTTTTAATGCGCGATTATTTAAACTAACATTTTCTATTACAGCACAACAGTTCAAGAAGTAAACTTTGCGAATTATATTTGTACAAAAAAGTGAAATTTGATAAAATAAAGTATATTTTCTAATAAATATTGATTTCAACTTATACATTTCCCATTATAACATAACAGTTTAAGATATAAACTTTACGAATTACATATGTACAAAATATTGAATTTTGATAAAGTAAAAGTAAAATTTCTAAGTAAATATTGATTTCAACTTGTAATGCACGAGTATTTAAAATAACATTTATTATTACAACATAACAGTCCAAGAAATAAACTTTACGAATTATATTTGTACAAAACATAGAAATTTGATAAAATAAAATATATTTTCTAATAAAAATATTGAAATTTGATAAGATAAAGTATATTTTCTAATAAATATTGATTTAAACTTATAATGCACGAGTATTTAAAATTACATTTCCCATTATAACATAACAGTTCAAGAAATGAACGTAACGAAATATATTTGTACAAAATATTGAAATTGTACGAAGCTAGAAGAAAGAAAAGAACTAGATAGCTCAGAAGCAGACTCACACATTTAGAAAAATCTTTTTCAAAAAAATTCTTTAAGGAATATTTGGGAACTAGAAAACTAGTTCAAATGATGCATCAAGTTCATTTACATATCTTATTAAATAAATTTTTAATCGAGCTAATATATTTGCTTTTAGAATTTGTGTACTTTTTCAATGTTGAAATCAAATATAAGCTCACAAATGTTCAAATATGATACATTAATGTTGTGATCAGTAACAATTCAAATAATTTTCACATTATTCATTAGAGTAATATTTTTGTTCATGCAATAATTATAAATATTTTCTTTAATAATTTTCATGAGATCAACTAGTTCGTTTAATCAATAGAACAAATAATAAATATCCGAACTCGAGCAAATTTTTCCAATTTCTTCAACTCTGATGTTGCATTAAGCAATACTTCAAAAGGACAATATTTCAACAATATTCAAACAATATTTCAAAAGGGTATTATTTCTACATAATTTATTTGACTGAAATCCTGTATAACGAATCTACGAAAGTATATAGATGTTTGTTTTAACATTTTTTTGCTAGAAGTCCCTTCTTAAGAAAGAATTTTAAACAGCATTAGAAGCTCACGGAAAGTGGTTTATCTGCATTATTTATTTGACTGAAATCCTGTATTTCGAATCTACAAAAGTACACAGATGCTTGTTTTAATATTTTATTGCTAGAAGTCCCTTCTTAGGAATGAATTTTAAAAAGTATAAGAAGCGCACGGGAAGTTGTTTTTCTGCATTATTTATTTGACTGAAATCCTGTATTTCGAATCTAAAAAAGTACATAGATGCTTGTTTTAATATTTTATTGCTAAAAGTCCCATCTTAGGAATGAATTTTAAGCAACATAAAAAGCTCACTGGAAGGAGTTTTTCTGAATTATTTATTTGACTGAAATCCTGTATAACGAATCTACAAAAGTATATAGATGTTTGTTTTAACATTTTATTGCTAGAAGTCCCTTCTTAAGAATGAATTTTAAAAAGCATTAGAAGCTCACGGGAAGTAGTTTATCTGTATTATTTATTTGACTGAAATCCTGAATTTCGAATCTACAAAACTACATAGATGCTTGTTTTAATAGTTTATTGCTAGAAGTCCCTTCTTAGGAATGAATTTTAAAAAGCATAAGAAGCTCACGGGAAGGAGTTTTTCTGAATTATTCATTTGACTAAAGTCCTGTATTTCGAATCTACAAAAGTACATATATGCTTGTTTTAATATTTTATTGCTAAAAGTCCCTTCTTAGGAATGAATTCTAAAAAGCATAAGAAGCGCACGGGAAGTAGTTTATCTGTATTATTTGTTTGACTGAAATCCTGTATAACGAATCTACAAAAGTATACAGATGTTTGTTTTAACATTTTATTGCTAGAAGTCATTTCTCAGGAATGAATATCAAACAGCATAAAAAGTTCACGGGAAGTAGTTTTTCGGCATTATTTATTTACTGAAATCCTGTATTTCGAATCTACAAAAGTACATAGATGCATGTTTTAATAGTTTACTGCTAGAAGTCCCCTCGTAGGAATGAATTTTAAACAGCATAAGAAGCTCACGGGAAGTAGTTTATCTGCATTATTTATTTGACTGATATTCTGTATTTCGAATCTACATAAGTGCATAGATGCTTGTTTTAATATTTTATTGCTAGAAGTCCCTTCTTAGGAATGAATTTTAAACAGCATAAGAAGCTCTCGGGAAGTAGTTTTTCTGAATTATTTATTTGACTGAAATCTTGTATAACGAATCTACAAATGTATATAGATGTTTGTTTTAACATTTTATTGCTAAAAGTCCCTTCATAGGAATGAATTTTATACAGCATAGGAAGCTCACGGGAAGTAGTTTATCTTCATTATTTATTTGACTGAAATCCTGTATTTCGAATCTACAAAAGTGCAAAGATGCTTGTTCTAATATTTTATTGCTAGAAGTCCCTTCTTAGGAATGAATTTTAAAAAGCATGAGAAGCTCACGGGAAGTAGTTTTTCGGAATTATTCATTTGACTGAAATTCTATATAACGAATCTACAAAAGTATATTGATGTTTATTTTAACATTTAATTGTTAGAAGTCCCTTCTTAGGAATGAATTTTAAACAGCATAAGAAGCTCAGGGGAAGTAGTTTATCTGCATTACTTATTTGACTGAAATCCTGTATTTCGAATCTACGAAAGTACATAGATGCTTGTTTTAATATTTTATTGCTGGAAGTTCCATCTTAGAAATGAATTTTAAAAGGCATAAGAAGCTCACGGGAAAAAGTTTTTCTGTATTTTTTATTTGACTGAAATCCTGTATTTCGAATCTACAAAGGTACATAGATGCTTGTTTTAATATTTTTATTGCTAAAAGTCCCTTCTTAGGAATAAATTTTAAAAAGCATAAGAAGCGCACGGGAAGTAGTTTTTCTGCATTAATTATTTGACTGAAATCCTGTATTTTGAATCTACAAAAGTACATAGATGCTTGTTTTAATGTTTTATTGCTAGAAGTCTCTTCTTAGGAATAAATTTTAAACAGTATAGGAAGCTCACGGGAAGTAGTTTATCCGCAATATTTATTTGACTGAAATCCTGTATTTCGAATCTACAAAAGTACATAGCTGCTTGTTTTAATATTTTATTGCTAGAGGTCCCATCTTAGGAATGAATTATAAACAGAATAAGAAGCTCACGGGAAGTAGTTTTTCTGAATTATTTATTTGACTGAAATCCTGTATAACGAATCTACAAAAGTATATAGATGTTTGTTTTAACATTTTATTGCTAGAAGTCCCTTCTTAGGATAATTTTAAACAGCATAAGAAGCTCACGGGAAGTAGTTTATCTGCATTAATTATTTGACTGAAATCCTGTATTTCGAATCTACAAAAGTACATAGATGCTTGTTTTAATGTTTTATTGCTAGAAGTCCCTTCTTAGGAATAAATTTTAAACAGCATAGGAAGCTCACGGGAAGTAGTTTATCCGCAATATTTATTTGACTGAAATCCTGTATTTCGAATCTACAAAAGTACATAGATGCTTGTTTTAATATTTTATTGCTAGAGGTCCCATCTTAGGAATGAATTTTAAACAGCAAAAGAAGCTCACGGGAAGTAGTTCTTCTGAATTATTTTTTTGACTGAAATCCTGTGTAACGAATCTACAAAAATATATAGATGTTTGTTTTAACATTTTATTGCCAGAAGTCCCTTCTTAGGAATGAATTTGAAACAGCATAGGAAGCTCACGGGAAGTAGTTTATCCGCAATATTTATTTGACTGAAATCCTGTATTTCGAATCTACAAAAGTACAAAGATGCTTGTTCTAATAGTTTATTGCTAAAAGTCCCTTCTTAGGAATGAATTTTAAACAGCATAAGAAGCTCACGGGAAGTAGTTTATCTGCATTATTTATTTGACTGAAATCCTGTATTTCGAATCTACAAAAGTACATAGATGCTTGTTTTAATA